GACACACACCGAGGAAAACACCTAAGTATATCACAAGGCAAGCCCTCGCTTGGAATCCTCAAAGCCAAAGAAAAAGAGAAAGACCAAACAGCATATTACGCCGAGAATTGGAAACAGATATAGGAAGAATGAACAAAAATTGGATAGAACTAGAAAGGAATTCCCAAGACAGAGTGGGTTGGAGAATGTTGGTCAACGGCCTGTGCTCCATTGTTTTCAAAACCTATCTGTACTGTATCTATGAAACAATGACTTAGGCTTTTCTATTCCGTATGGAAAATTAACTTTTACATATATAGTCTAAGTATTATAACAGTGGTTTTCAGTTCGAATTCGTTTTCATCTATGTAAAATTGACGTTGAAATATCTTCGTCTTGACCATTCTCGCATTATTTACATATCCGTAACTTGTGCACTTATTGACTCAGCTTTCTTGATTGAAGCTTTTAAAGGATTCTTATCATTCTTATCATCTATAGGTGGTCAAACAAACTTTAGAAAGCCTATAAGAAATTAATCAGAATGGAAGGCATAATCATGCTGAACATATTCAAGATAATATGTATTGTCGAATAGCTTATAAGTTGTCAGCAGTGGTTTAGTCACATTTATGATGACTTATTACAACAAGATGCAAAGCTGCAACGAATATATATATCCTGATTCTGTGCGTTTTTTATGTAAATAGATAGATCTTGATTCGAATCTGTTAAGGTGATTGTCACTACGTTAGTTACCGGTGGTTATTCATTTATTACTGAATGAACTATTGAAAGTATTATGCAGATTCATGTCGGTTTGCGACAAGTACAAACTTTCAACATAATCATTACTAAATTTAAAGATGTTATTCCACTTTACTAAATTAATCAAATGCGTGAAGAACCATTCTATATAGAATTCCAAGGCCTCCATACGATTTTCAATATGTAGGGTTAAACCAGAAGATCAATTCCCTTCCCTTTGACCACATATTGTAATATGTAGTTCTGATAGAAAATTTCGTTAATTTGTATCATCACATATTCTCAAAATACTATCAACCATTATTAGGTACCATTTCCACTTCATTCTAGTTTCAATAATGCTCTATGTGTAAAGCGGTACAACAATTTGTATAACGTATGGATGCTTGAAAATTATCAACTTTTGGCAACTTTTAGTATATAACTTTTAACTACTGATAAATAAATCAGTAATGTTTTGTTAAATTCGAAAAGTTGGTGCGTCAAGCAATTCACATCGAGTTATACATGGAAATCAGTTGTAAGCGCAAGAGTATAATTTATGGATAAACCAATCAGATTTCGGATATCAGGTATTAAACGTTGGAGCGAAATTTATTCATTGCTTTGGCTAAATACCATTATGGCATTTTAGCTGATGTCAGTTTGTGATGAAAACTCTAAATCTAATTCTGACGCTAACCATCAATTGTAAATCATAATCTTTACTATTCACAGTGGTTTATAACCTTCATTCAGCTCTCATAAGTAGGTGGACATTCCCAAGGTCACGTTAGCGTCACTTGGAGGTCGTCCATACATAATAATCTATTCCGTTGTGAGGTAATCAGAGGTACTTTGTAGGAGTTTCGTGCTGCTGTTTAAGATTCAAAAAGGAGTGGCCATCTTGACCAACAAAATGCTATTAGCGTTGAAGAACTGGACGAACATGATACTCCTGACTACTCATTCATCGATCGTCCGTAAACCTTTCCAACAAACTATTTTGTAAGATTGATGTCAGCTACAGAACAAGACAAATTTCCTGTGATGATTAACGTTTTAAGATTTTACTGATCAGGTTTATTTGCAGCAAAACCATAGTGTTCCAAAAGTTACTTAATATGATGTTTATTCGAAACTTGATAAAGCACCTTTTTAAGTGATTATCAACACAAAATGCTGTTATATTTCGTTATTGCTTGAATGCTTCCAAGACGGTATGCTATAATATCTGGGCTACTCGTTCCTGCTATCCACATATTTCAAAAAATATCTGTTTGCTTGTTTGTTTTAACAAACATTGTGCCCGTTAGCCGCATAACCTATTCAGGTTTGTTTGTTAAACGTATACGACATGTCGCTATACAAGTTACAAAGGAGCACAATCAAAGACATTGCGGTTGCCGGCAATATGTATCGGAATGAATATACATTAATCAGATGACGATTCCTGAAATGCTAACGTCTAACCGGCGACCACTCAATAATGATCGCCAGTGTCGACCAAGAAATAGGAAAAGGGAATTTGTTAAAATATTTCGTGATGTTAATTTTATACCATACCAAACATATAATCTTGAATAAAATCTTGAATAATTAACTAATATGTTATATACTACTAACTTATAAAATAAGTAGCCAGCGCTATATTTTGAAAGTTTTCGAAAACATCTTTTTTTCTCCATTATGAAGTCCAAGAGGGTATAGTATGATGCATCATAATGGAAGTGTGAAATAATTTATTAGTATATGTATATATGCTTACTATATGTGTTCATCGAACTGTCAACTTTAAATTCAACAAGGAGTGACCGTCATCTAATAGCATATTTAAATAGATATTATAATTAACAGCCTAGTTAACGTTGAATGCAACAACAGCTTTGACATTTGAAGATAATTTCGGTGAAACATTATCATTTGACCTAGAAAATTACACATTGATGCTGAATGCCTTGATGCCAAATAGATTATGATAACCAAACAGGCTTGAACGAAACATTATATGTATTCTTTTTTGATTGAGATCATGAATCGATTTATGTTAGATTACCATTAAAAACCTGAAAGCACTGGATGGCTGTTTCGTCCAATTACAGAGCTCCTCTGAAGTGTGTACCCACGATCCCACCCCCAGATCTCGAACCCAGGACCTATTGATCTCACATGCTAAAGCCTAACCTCCAGACTAGTGAACCGGCTGGTATCCAAAGCTGTTAATGTCTAACCTCAAATAATCCAAGAAAATCGGCGGATATCTTCCATTGTACTGAGGTAGATACCTGTCTCTATCTAACATGAATTAGCTCCACTAGTCGCGGTTTCGCATTAGAACTCTGAGAATTCCCTCACGAAGCTGGTCACCAGTGAGCACACGTATTAACACACCCGATCATCAAAAATACAAGTCTAGTTGTAAAAGTAGACATTCTTATTTCATATGTCACTGACTAATAACCTCAATTTATGTACCAGTAGAACAATCCTCATCGTCTTCCTAATTACTTTCATTTAAAAATAAATATTTTACTTACAACCAAGTTTTCATATCAAATTTTGTTTTTGATCGAGATCATGAATCGATCGATGCTAGATGATCATTGAAAATCTAGATATACTGGACGTTTGTTTTGTCCTGATATGATACACTTGAGAGGTGCTTATCTTAAACCTCACACGAATGCTTAACCACTAGACCACTGAATCAGCATCCAACTATTGATATCAATCTTTATGATCGTGATAGTCATTTTATTAAGTATTTGATTACAAATGACACTAACTATTGAAACCTTCATGTATAGATTGTTCTCACATATAACATCACCTTCCTTCGAAAACACTCAGTGACTAATTACACCCAAATGTAAAACTGCTATATCTTATTTACAAGACAGAAGTCATTGAATTCTTAGAGGGGGCGGGTGGTATATTATGTAATCTATTACTATGCAGGAGACATTGAAAGAGCCTGTCTTTAATATGTTGATATTTATTTTGAAATGTTGTAGATGGTTTGTAGCTTAAGTGGATGATATTGATGGAGTTTTTTAATCTGAGCTGGATGGTTTGGTCATGGAGCTTTCATCGTTCTTCTGAACGACATCATCAAGAAAAAAATTTCAGATCGAAGTGAAGTGTTCGAATTTCTCCAAATAATGGCTTGTCCTATAGACATCGGCGTTGACTAGTTTTTGCTGACTTTAAACCTGTTATTGTTTACTTCTTTTTACAAGTTGTATCTCCTAATGGTTCGATTTTCAGTCCTTTTTTTGTTCATAAATTTCCTGATTGAATCAATTTCACTGTGATTGCTGATTGCTGATGGATCTGAGTGACAAATTTGTAAAATGCATATCACAAACTACAATGACATTGTTGAAACCATTCAGAATAGGTGTTACACACAAACCAATAAAATCACTACAATCAATCTTGTGTAAACCAAAGGATGAAATGATAAAAGATCAATAACCGAACGTCATCTACAAAATAAACTGTTACAACTATGTACAAAGCGGACGCCCTGTTCATCTTCGCCTGCATTAATTTCATGACATATCATTACTTATATCAATATAGGTGGACAACTCGGGACACACATTCGACTGGAAAAATGTTGGAAACACTATAGAATTTTTAGAAGCTTTGCACTCATATCAGTTTTAGCAATCAATCAATCAAATCTACGGACAAATATAGGACCAAGAATCGAATCAATCGATTATATAATCAAAATAAAGAAGTTAACAATGACAGGTTAAAGTTCAACAGAACTCAATCAAGATCGAGGTCTACAAGAAAAGCTGTGAGTTATATGGGAAGAGATTCGAACACTTCACTCCTACTTTGTGCTGATGATGTTGCTCAGAAGAACAATGAAAGCTCTGTGACTAAGCCATTCAGCTTAAAGAACAAACTCCATTAAAGACATTCATCTTGACCTATAATTTATACTAATTCAGTAAACGTCTTATGAAAGGGGGAGTCCATCAAAGAAAATCAACTACTTCTAAGGAGGCTGTTTAAATTATAGTTTAGATATTAGCTATGTATATTGTTTACACATACAAACAAAGTTGATTTAATTGTGGTCTAGAGGTGAAGCGTTCATGCACGAGACCTATCGGTCCTAGTTTCGAATCTTGCAAGGTGGGATCATGGATGCGCACTACTAGAACAAAACAGCCATCCAGTGCTTCCAGGTTTCTCATTGTGGTCTAGCTTCAATTGACCCCTATATGATGTAATTGTGTTAAGAAAGCGTTAAATAACATTAAACTTTGTTTAATAATTTTGAAAATATAACTGGGTTCATAACTTGGTGTGTATATTTGAGTCTTATCTCTTCGCTAAAGCACTATTTGTAACGTTCTTAATTGCTGCTAACCAATGTTCAACTGTGTTCCTAAAATATGAAAATAAGATGATTGACAGTGTATAAGTAAATAAAATGAAATTGTAAACTAATCCAAGAAATACTCAGTTAATACTGGTTAGTTTGCCTTGAATGTATAAACATTTACGACTATACTATTCGTTGGTACGTCTTATAACAACACTATTTAGCTGATGTCTATTTAACGATCGATTGAAGTGTTACATGGTTTCTTTTCACAATTGAAATCACAAGTCGATTTGAGCCAATTCACCACCATAAACCTGGTTAGGTTAGTGGGCAATTTCATCTTAGAATAGTAATTCTCAAGAATGTGGGTCAGCGATCCCGTATGAGAGAATGGAACCTAGGACCTTCGAGTTTGGATGTGAATACTTAACCTGTAGACCACTGAGTTGTCACTCAACGGTATGTGTATCACACATCAACAGTGAAAACTTGGAAGCATTAGACGGTCATGTCATATTAGTATGGGACTCAGAAGTGCGCATCTGTGTCTTCACATTTAGGACTAGAACAAAGGACCCCCAGTAGTGTGCGCGAATATTTTACCTCTAAGCCACTGATGTAGAATCCAACGATGTTACTATTTAACTTCAATCAATCTAAGGTCTTGCACTTCCTGAGACTGATAACTGTCTCACACACGACACGGATCACAGTGCACTATGCATATATCTATGTATATACCTAATGAGAAAGTAACTCCTAGAATGGTTAATATTAGATTAAGTAAAATGTATAATGTACAATGATCTTACCATATTCCATTTAGTGTACTTCATAAATATAAATGATTTAAAATAAAAATGAAATGAATTCCCCATATTCAGTGGATTTATATGTTGACAAATGAGTTGAAACATAATAACTTATGAACGAATCAATCAGATTTGAGATAACAACCCTTGGATTTTGGCGCGAAATTTATTCATCCATTTGGTTTAATAGCATCTTGGCATTAGATTTGATGTCAGTTCATGATGATAAACCGTAAATCTAATTTCTCAACCTTAACCATCAATTGTAAATCACCATTCGAATCCCCTATAAAGGTTGATCACACTTATTTGATCCTAATCACAATTGATTGATCACTGGGTGGTGATCAATGTCATGTGTGTTAAGTCCTTATTTAGTGCAGATCGAATGCTATCGACCATGTTGCAATGTGGCCACCAGTCTAGGTAACTCGACACTCTGGAAACCCTATTTCTTGTCGACTACCTCCGACCACCATCTAACCTTACTTCATCCTAGTTATTAAGTGAACACTCTCGAAGTCAGTTTAGCATCACTCGAAGGTCGTCCGTAAATTTTAGTCTCACCACAATGCCTAAACGATATCAGTATATATTCCTATGGTATATTATAAAATCATTTACATATTAACAATGTTAACAAGCATTAACCTTTGTGAATAGTGATCTGACAACTATAAGTCAACTTACCAAATGAATTCAATAAGCGTTCTGTTATGTGAATGAACAAGACGGAATCATTCAGTCATAATAATAAATATTATCGAATGATAAAATGAAATTTCGATTCTGTAGTGAGAATTGAATGAACAATCTAAAATGTTGACAATTGACTGGTCATTAAGTGATAATCACTGTCATGTATGTTAGGTTCTTCTTAGTAGAGGTTGAATTCCATCGATTATGTTGCATTGCAACCACTTGTCTAGTTGACTCGACATTGCATGCACTATGTTGAGATAAGATGGTGGTTGGAGACAGTCAACCGGGAACCATGGAACCAGGTTTCGTACTATTTGGCACTCGTCAGCAAGGTGTACCTGTAATCTAGAGGGGACTAATGGTGCCTGATTGATTCAATTTCATGTCACTCTGCCTCACAATCAGAGCTATTACCAATGCGCTATCCGGGCAGCAACTGACCTCTTGTAAGACTGAGATGTATTCACAATAGCTTGATCATTGACTGTTGATCAACATCATATATGTCAGGTCCATCTTAATGCAGATCAAATCCTATCGACCATGTTGCAAACCCAGTTTTTTTAAAACAAAAAGAACGTTAAATTGCACGAAACAATTATTGGATTTTTATAGTTGAACTCATGAGTTATTTGAAGCTAAACCACCATTGAAACCCTGGAAACACTGGACGACCATTTCGTCCTAGTATGGGACTCTTCAGCAGTGCATCTACACAGTCCTGCACACCGGATACCAACCCAGAACCTTCAGTCTCACTCACCAACGTCTAACCTATAAACTCATAACCAAACGTCCAACGATGTTTACGTCTCACTTCAATCAATCCACTATATTGAACAATCATCTTTTGCCTAACAACCGACATGGTATATCTCCACTAGTCACGGCTTGATAAAGAGAATAGTTCAACTGTCATGAGATTTCGTACATATAAGTAAAATGTTAATTGACATATGATTAAGTGACTTACTCCACTATTGACCAGAATTTTCTACCACAAATACGACAGTTTAACATTAAAATTAATACTCCCATTAACAACATTATAATAACAAAGTAATGTATATCCATTCCAAACTATATACAATGAATACAGGTGGTTGTATAATTTCCAGCTTTGTTCTAGTTAAAAAATGGACATAATGGGTCAATTGAAACTAGACTACCATGGGAAATCTGGAATCAGTGGACGGCCATTTCATTCAGTGGTGGATATGTCACTGAATTTCGAGGGTTAGTTGAATTTAGACACTAACACAATTGGATGATGATTGGCTCAGTGGTCTAGTGATTAAGCGCTCACACGTGAGACTGATAGGTCCTGGGTTCGAATCTCGCGAGTCAAGATCATGGATGCGCACTGCTGAGGAGTCCCATCCTCGGAAGAAACGGCCATCCAGTGCTTCTTGGTTTTCCATTTTAGTCTAACTTCAACTGCCCCATGATCTCAACTATTGAAATTTTGATTTCATTAATATTCCACTTTTTAAATCATTTACACTATGCATTTCTTCCAAACACAAATTCGTTTACTTACCCAAAGGATCCCCTTGAAGAAATGTAGATAGGTAATCATTGTGAGAAACTATACCATGGTGATGTAATATATCTGTATCCATGTTATTCATACATTGAAAAGTTTACACAAGAAGGATATTATGATTAAGCGTATATTAAAACATTTTTTAATCTTCATTTGATATACATTTCCACCTTATATAATGGATAGAAAGTTGTGCAAGATTTTGAGTCAAGTGGAGTTAGACATTAACATTATTGGATGCTGACTCAGTGGTCTATAGGTTAAGAGTTCGCGCGTGAGATCGAAGGTCATGGGTTTGAGTCGTACGTGTAGGATAGTGAATACGCGCTTTTGAAAAGATCCATACTAAGACAAAACAATTGTTCTAAGCTTCCATGTTTATGATAGTGTTCCAGCTTAGATCAACGCATGAAGTCAACTTTAATATATATAAATTGAGAACTCAATTATATCAAAGTATATAGATTTATGGTGCACAATAGGTGAATTATTCCGAAATCGATGAAGGTGTAGGGCCAGTGAAATGTCACTGAGCCCTAGCCAAATCATCCGGCAGTTGGATCACTGAATGTCGAACAGATCATCGCTCCCTGCCAAGGTCATGTACAACAAACGCGCATTACTTAATCATACGCCATGGACTGGCCCATGCGGCAGTGGTCTTACTTTCGCCTGTATCTACCTTAACTAATATATTTCTGTAATAACGTCCTTTGTGTTGTACAGTCTTCAAAGCATCTATAGTACCTTGTTACGTCAATGGGGGTAGTCCACGTAAGGTGCTGACCACGAGGTGTGACTTCGACATTAGCTAGTTTGTCACACCATTCATGTCTAACTCGAGTAGGCCTCCAATCATTTCGACATAGATCATCTACGTTGGTGATCTACAAAGGCAAACTGTCGAAGGTATACAATATGAATAATTGATTTAAAAAAAACTCACTAGTGACTAGCTTCGTAAGGGAATTCTCGTGAGAAATTGCAATCAGTGTAGCTATTCTCTGTCAGGCAGAGACAGATCGCACAATTCCGTGAATTTGTTAACGTCAGATATGTCGGCCGGTTCAGTGGTCTAGAGGTTAAGTGTTCGTTTGCAAGACTGAATGCCTTACGTTTGAGTCCTGCAGGTTTGATCGTGGATGAACACTACTGACGAGTCACATAATAGGTGAGACAACCGTCTGGTGCTTCCAAGTTTACAATGGTGATCCAACATTAATCGATTCATAATCACAATCAAGATCATAATACTTTTAATCAAAGTGAAGTGTAGAATATCAACAAATTAACTTACTGCTCTTCTGTCATCAAAGAAGTTTGTTGATTTCATATGTTAATGATATAAAAATTTAGTTATTTTAGCATTTTGAATGGATGAGTAAGTATCATAGCTTTTTGATGGAGTTTTGTTCCCTGATCTGGATAGTTTTAGTCGTGGAGTATCATCAGCAAAAACTTCAGGTAGAAGTCAGGTAAAAGAGTTCTACCTGAAGTTTGTGCTGATGATGTCATTCAGAAGAACGATGAAAGCTTCACGATCAAACCATCCAACTCAGAGAACGAAATTCCATCAAAATCATCCAGCTGAGCTACAAATTTTCTCCACCATCTCAACTATCATGGCATAAATCAATCTGATTATAATAGCATGGATGTAAATATTCAATGGTAGAACATACGTTTACACTTAGATGATGATGATGATGAACCAGAATTACATGATTGTATTAGAAGGAATAAAGTTATAATGAAAGGAATCATTACTTCAATTCAATACAAGTATAAACTTGTAAACTACTTAAATACATTAAATTAAATTTATGTATTTTCAATGAATCAATTCAAACAGAATAGATGTCTCTTCATTCTATTGTGTATGTCAGTCAGTACAATTCTGTATGTCTAACAGAGATGTTAGAAAACATTCATTATCCTTTACAAAACACTGATAATGATTGATAAACAATAATAATAATAATGATCGATAGAGATATTGATGATTGGTAATGTCGGAGTTAAGCTGAAAAACAAAGTATCAGGTAGTTGTTTCACGCTAGTTTAAGACTGTTTAATCGTACGTATCTAAAACCCTTCAAGGATTTGAACAAAAAGGATCTTGACATTAAGTAGTGATTCATCAGTGAATAATCCTGTGCCAGTTGTAATGAGTTAACATAGCAAATAAATTTATAGCTTACTTGCATACTTAGTTACTCCTGTTGCCCCTATTACAGCAGGATAGGTCGCTTACCAGGATTCTTCATCCAACTCTCTCCTCAGCACACCTTCCCAGTTCTTTGCAGTTGTTATTCATCCTTTCCTTATCTACTTTCACTTCCCAACATAATATGTTCTTCAGCCTTCCACGTTTCCGCTTCCATTCAGGATTCAAAGTTAGGGATTGCCTCGTGATGCAGTTTAGTGATTTGCGTAAAGTACGTTCTATGTTCTATCCATTTCCATCGTCTTTTTCTTATTTTCACTTCAGTTGGAAGCTCGTTTGTTCTCTCCCAGAGAAGGCTGTTACTGATAGTATCCCGTCAATGGATGTTGAGTATCTTGCGCAGATAACTATTTATAAATACTTGTATCTTCTTGAGGGTGGTTGTTTTAATTCTCCAAGTTTTAGCTCCGTACAGTAGAACTGCCTTGACGTTCGTATTGAAGATTCTCACTTTGATATTGATTGAAAGTTGTTTAGAGTTTCATATATTGTTCGACTGTAGGAATACTGTACTTACTATGCCAATCCTCACGTTTACGTCTGCGTTGGATGCTCCTTGTTCATCAATGATATATCACAGATACGTGAAAAATTCCTTATTATCCAGAGTTTGTTCATCAAGTGTTAATGGTTTGGTGTTCTTTGTGTGGTATATGAGTATCTTACTTTTTTCTTTGTGCGTGTTGATGTCTACAGATGGAGAAGCTGCTGCTACATTATTTGTCTTTACCTACATTTTTTGATGTATACGGGATGGAAGATCTAGGTCAACTGCAAAATCGAAGTTGTCTAGTTGCATCAGCCCATCCATTGTTTTTCCGCATTTCCCGTCAGATGTCAAGATCTTCATAATCCAGTCAACCATCAAAAGACAGAGAGAAAGTAAGAGTAATTACCTTGGCTGACACCGTCCCCTATTTGAAATGCCTATGTCGGCTGTCCTACATACACGATTTTTCAATGTTGTCCGTCGTTTGGATTCCGTAAGATGTTGATGATCTTCTCAGGCACACGATAGTGTCGAAGAAGGTCCTATGAGGCTCTGCTACCTACGCTGTCAAGAACCTTCTCATAGCCAAGGAAGTTCGGATTGTGTACGACTGATCCTTACGGAATCTGGCCCATTGATCTCGATGTTGAGCGTCTGCTGAATCGTTCATCCGGTTCAATAACCCCATTGAAAACTTTTTCTGGTACTGAGAGTAGTGTAATGCCACTGAGGTTCTCTTTTCTTTGATGATGAGGGGCTGGATGAAGTATTTTTATTTCTGGTCGGTCGACTGATGTTCTTCCTCCCAAATCCTCCAAAGTAGAACGAAGAACATCCTTTGATTTTTCTTCTATGTCTGACTTCAGTGCTTCAGCTAGTGGTTTACTATATCTCCTGCTAGCTTCACGGTTATATCATATAGTTGTTTCATATTTCTTTCGCTTACAGCTTTTTCTGCTAGATTTTCTAAATATTTATACTTGTCAGTTCTAATGCCTTTCATCACTCTCTTATTTTCTCATGTATATTCGGTGTGTGCCTTAGGTTTATCTGCTGTTGTTCGGTCGTTGTTTATTGATGTCTCCTTGATCTTCTTTTCTTGAATCCTGCCCGGGAATTCCATAGAGATCCTTCCTTTTCGGCGATACTTCTTGTGTCCAGGCCCCTACTTGTACGCTACAGTTAATGGTTCTTTGATCCCTTTCTAGTTGATCTTCACAGCAATTTCTTCTTTTCTGGGCTGTTATTTTATGGCTTGGAACCTGTTGCTCAAAGCTCTTATGAATTCGTTGAGTTTATCAGTATCTCGAAGGAAGGCTGTATTGATCTTGTTGTGCTGTTTCCCCAGTTTTCCACTGCTTCTTTAGCTCCAGTTTCATCTTGATCATATCCAACCCTCCTCTATTCCATGACTTATGACCGGCAGTAATCCTAGAACAATTACAGGTGGAGTTAGATAAACCTCATGATATTATTTTATATCAATAATTGTGAAACTTACACAACAAAAAAAGTAAATATTATCATAAATTCTGAAATCATTAAAAATGGAACTAATGAGTGAATACCGACAAATATTAGAAAGAAATATACAATACACACTCAAATGTTTATTATTCACCAAGTTTTTTACCGTCTCTAAGACAAAAATGGCAAGAAATTCAGTTATATTCACAGTTACATACTATACCCTTGTAGGTCAGGGTAATTTTACATTGGTTTCCAGGAAAACCAGACACTATCCAGACTTTCACGTGACAACCAAAACAGAACAGCTCAATCCTGGTTAATAGGAAAGCCAGAAACCGCCCTGGCTTAAATTTTATAACCCATGCAGTACAGCTCAATTCCACTTCATAAGAGAACCAGACACCGTATAGTTATTAACACTACAATCCGAATATTACAGCTCAATCCTGTGGCGCAACCACACAGGTACCCAACACCCTGGTGGATCATTCGCACCATTCATATACACATTCACGTCACATGTATAATTATTCCGACCAATGATCGCGTGAATCAATTATGCGCAGCACGAACAGGTCAAAGTTGACCTATTCCGCTTACACGACAGTCAAACTCGTAAATGATAGTAATGGCGACATGCCTCACAATGTCCCAATGATAATGACCCTTCAGAACACTGGAAAGCAACCACCAGTATGAATGAAACCGGTTAAACAGCAAACCAATTTTGTACATGAATAGTCAGCAAGACTTGCTAAAGTAATGTTGAACCATCCACAACATTAATGGTGAACCTCAAATCTCATATGAGACCTTCAGCTCTACTTAACCATATAACTTATACTGCAAAGAACACGCATGTAGGGTAGTAAGCAAAATAGCCCAGCTTGAAGCGTCAGGGCTTAAATAACACCTAAAACCCATTATCTGGTGTCGGAATACTATAACTATACCATCAAGATCATTTTGATCGCATTTGCGAAATTTTCATTTTTCCGATTTTTCAGACCCTGAATTAGAGGTAGTATCCCTCACAAGTAATTAGTTTCCACGAATAATAACCTCACTTAAATAATACAATAAGCTGTTTTGTCATGACAGCTGCTAATCACTGGATGAATCTTTGATTATGAACATAAAGATTTTCCAGTAGCTAGACAGCCTAGATCATTAGTGAGGTCAATTTTATCATGAACACTACGGAGATTTACTTATTTATTTAAACACATAAATATTGATATAAAGAAGCACCGAATACATATGCGCCAACCCAAGTCATTTGATTTGTATGTGGGTAGTTATAATACCCGGCTGCCTAGGTCGGAGCATGTGGTGCCCCGTAGTATGCCTAGGTATGGCCACGAGTAGTGTGCGCCCACCCTCCCTCTCGAAACGCTCTCACACGGCCACGAGTCCACAGCCTCTGCCAGGGGAGTCCTACTCACTACCTTCTCGTGGCGGAGGTGTTGTTTACGAAAATGAGAGGACGAAAAGCGAATGTCCGTCACTTTAACCTGATCCCAGATCAATGATGCACATGGGCTACAGTATCCTGAGGGAACAAATGGCGTATGAACCAATTTTTGGTCACCGGATACCATGAGACTCGATCTCCTTACGATGCTCCACTGCCTTGTGGGTTAGACCTTTAGGTCAAAGTGGTGTGGAGTGTGGCTCACTAAGAAAACCACCTGCTACGGTCTGGGCACCCAGGCAGTATCACAGCCCACACACAAATATGATGAACTGTCGATAATTATGGAAAATACTTTTTTTGCTTCAATTAACAATCAAACGATTCACATTATCATTAATATTATTATTATTTACTACGTCATTCATTCACTTTCTTTTATTCTCACTCTGTCTATCCTTATTTTTCGACTTACACAGCAGCTCGCCTATGGTGGAAATTCGGGTCTATCTAAACGTTCTCGAGTAGAGACGTTATCAGATATGGCTCGGAATAGAAGCCAGTTGCGATCCTGCTGTAACCTTCTTTTACTTTCTTCATAAAAAGTGGTTGCTTGTTCTTTAACTGAAAGATCTCTTCTGGTTGCATGTTTCTAATTCCCCCATTATTATTATTATTATACTACCTTACACTAATCTGTTCGCTATCATACTTTTTTTACGCTCCTTACCCTTTTTTCCTTCTCTTCAAATTCCCAGTGTTTTGTGTGACGCATATATATTTGGTGCCCTCTTGTACCAATATTTATATGTTCAAATAAATAAATAATCCGGTAGTATTTTTAGGGGGTCACACCCGAAGCCTTCGACCTAAAGGTAACCGGTGACCAACAATTCGTTCATAAGCCATTTGTGTACCATTAGTTTAGAATCAGGGTTTTCCAACTCCCTTAGGTAAACACTTTGCGTCCAATAACACAGTTAAAGTGCCAGACATTTCGTGAACAACACCCTTGTTTCGAGAAGACGGTGAGTAGGACTTTCTCGACAGTGACTGCATACGCACGGCTATGTGAGAGCTTTTTGAGAGTGAGACTGGACTCTCCCCACTCCTGGCTGTACCAAGGTATTTGAAAGCACAAAGATTCATAACAAACATTTGTCAGTTTGATTGAAGGACTGTCATGATTAATTGAAGTGAAATATTTTTGTTTTCAAAACAAAACAGAGAAGAATAGTCATAGCTTAGAAAGAACTGTTTAC